CCAATGACGAATACTTAGAGGCTTGTTTGTTCAATCAAACGCTTCATTATCGTGTACAAAGTTTGACAACTCTTTCTGATTTTTATGTTCTTTTTTTTCAAAATGATAATAATTCGAAATTCTAAATCACTTTTTTTATAGTGAAATTAGGATATATTGTGTGAAAAACAGATAAGAAATGGTTCCATTATGAAAATCATATTGATGGGTGAAGCCATGCACTTTTTTGGGAAAATGTTTTCTAAGGTTTTTAGCGTATCAGGTGAATCCTCGGTGAAAAATAGCTATAGAGTGAGTTTTAACCTTCGTACAAACGAAAATTGCCTACATCGATAGTAATCTTTCGGCACATATGTGGCTAGTTCTCATGTCATCTGATCAAATATTTTCAGGATAATTTCATAGTAGTTGATAAAAAAAACATGGATATTCCGAATAAATATTGTATATGTTTGTGATTTCCGGTTATAAGAAAGCTGACAATGATTTCCTAGCTATTTTTCATCGAAGATCAGTCTGAGACGCTAAAAAATCGTGGAAAAAAAAGATTTTTTCAAAGATTGTATTCGAGAATAAAATTTTTGCAAAAAGGGGGCGGCTTCTCCCGAATTCACCCATAGGTTAACTATCCAAATATAATTGTTAATAATATTGTATCAATATACTATTAACATCGATGAATTAAATTGTAATATAGTAAATCTCGAGAATAATATTTGTTCCCTCTACTGAAAGGAGGGTATACGCAGAATTTGAGTTAAAATTCGTTCGCTTGGCCGTTTGGCCGTTCGTTCGTCCGTTCAGATACTTCACACCAATGAAAAAGCAATCTGTACTGCTGACATATAAGGGTTGACCGAAGGGTCATCGGGGTCGAGGATCACGAATCCAGTGTTAGTTTTTTCATGAACACTTTCTGGCCCGTTTTTTTTTGCGACAAAGCATCAATTCTTAGACGATAATGTTTTAAGCGGCAATATGTAGAACAAAAAATGCAATAGCTGACTGACGTCCGATCGCTGGATCTCCATAGTCATCAGCATATTAATGAGATCACACACTTTTATAAACATCTATAGTATACGAATATCATCTGATGCCAGTCATTCAAGATACTGTTTCGCTTGTCAGGTGTTGTCTTCGCGAGTCACAGTAGCACAAAGAGGGTAACTTTTAAAGAAGGAATAGAGGAGAGTGAAATGAATTAGTTTCAAAAGTGACTCTAGACTAACTGGAAGAGTGAAAATGTACATGTAACGGCTAGCCGCGGCCCAGGTCAATCATTCCGGCGACTGGATCCGTTGAAATCTGAGTCGGTTCCGGCACAGCTCTTATCGATTCCGACACAGTTTTCGCCGATTCCAGCAAGTTCCTGCAGGTTCCTTGCCGTCGGATTCCGGCTGGAATTGCACAGGAAATATCCGATCAGTTCCTGATCGTTTCCAGCTCGAAGTTTGCAGGAAACGGCCGGGAAATGATTGAAACCTACGTTTGAACTTCCGGCCGAAGCCGACCGGAGGGAGGCCGACGAGCGACTAGTCGTCGATTTGCAGAATAATATTTTTAAGAACAAACTTTGTGATTTTTATAGAGCTTTAAGATTTCTTGGTCAGAAATTAATCGTTGCTCTGCACGAACATAGGTGGCAGCTATTTAAGGTTCCTCTTGGTGGAGAGAAGATTGAAACCTTTTCCAGAGAATCATATAGCTATGTACAGCTTCTAAGTTTTTGATTTTCCGAAATGTGCTCATTTGCAGAACGCGTCTTAGTCCGAATGAAGTTAAGATAGTAAAATGAGCACGCATGGGAACAGCTAGCCGTGAGTGGCCGACTGAAGGGAGGCCGACGAACGACTAGTTGTTTCTTTTGAAAATTAGTTGAAAAGTGAGATTTATAAAACTGTCCCATAGTGACCATAATTTTTCTAAGGTATATAGTATATATATAACGTCTTTTCGAGCTGCGAGAAAAAATATGTAGATCACTGTAACGACAAACTGGTTGAGTAGCTGACCGCTTCTCACGGTATCGATGTTTATTGACTACTCTACATGACCAGAATGTATCTTTTTCACAATAAGACACGCGCTTATATAGAGAAGAGGAAAAAGAGATATGACCCGGAGATAGTATGATATAGAGGTGAGAGGATAAAGAACAGAAAGAAATGAACGATATCATTATCGTTACAATCACCAACTCATTCAACTAAAAATCATGATAAAGGATATACTGTAGGTCACGAAGTTGTGAAGAATTTCGGCAACCTTGCTAGAGACGGACTCAACAAGAACGAGATACTTTTTAATATGAAAATATCATTAAACACTTATTAGGCACCAACGGCTAGCGGTGAGTGGTTGACCGGAGAGAGGCCGACAAACGACTAGGCGTTATAATCTCAGAAGATTTCAGGAAGCGAAATTGGTCTAGGTAAAACATTCTGACAAATTATCAAATGATCAGATCGTTCAACTGAAATAACATTTTTCTCTCTTTGGATGAATAGTGGCGCTCTAATACTATCCTTTCAGTAGAGGGTTTAGCGGCTACTAGGCCGCGTTACTCGTGCTACAGTGAGCAAAGTTTTGTTGAGATTTCTTTGTATGTTAAGAATGGAGAAAAACCATGTGAAAGAAAAACACTTAATGCATTTTTCACCATTATAACAGAGGATCGAAATCTGTCTGAAAAATTTCTTTAAGAATTTGTTTACCTTCACAAAAACACTTATGAGAACAAGTTCCATTTTATTTCTTCTAAAACAAAGCATTTCTCCATTTTAAAAAGCACAAAAAAGTCTCAACTGACATCTTATACATAAAATAACATACGTGTTAAACTCGAAACTTGAATTCAACTATTAGTTCAATTAATCGAGTATTCAAGTTTTCAGTATTTTAGTTATTCAGGTATTCGGGTCGGGGCTGTGTGAGGGCGGATGATTCGCGTATGATCTGGTTGACAGAAAAATTGCAAATTGAGTGTGTATGTTGACGACTATCTGTAAGTGGCCGACCGGGTAGTCGCCAATTTGATATGCTTGTGGTTTGCACAAAAGGATTAGTAGAGAAAATATTGAAGAAATGGAATACCGAAATAATTGAAGCATCAGTTGAATAACTGAATTTCGCTTTGGAGTTTGACACTACTGCGTAAGTGTGGGTGTTTGTGATAGCATCTTCGTTGATGCATAGGGAAGGAGTATATGAGGTATCATCAAAGGATGAATGTGTGTATGCGACTTGTAGCATAATCGAACACGAGAAAAGTGATTAGAGAAAGCGTCGAAGATCGTCTGAGCGCTCACAGCTGTGCAATGACTATGCAGGTAATTGTTATTGGTTGATGACGGAGGTTTGGAGAGGAATGGTATCGCTGATAGTGATTAGTTAAAAAAATATACTCTACGCGAGAGCGTGACGGAAAATTCTGGCAGTGTGAGCTAGCAAAAGTTCGCTGGATTTCGAATCCTATACTGGATCAGTTCTAGCGTTTCAGTTAGAAATAATTGTACAAGTTACAATAGCGACGGAGAAGAATGGATTAAGCGATCTCTACCGCTGGACGCCCCGTCATTATATGGCACGTGAAATTTCGAGCTTTGAAGCTTCTCTGTGAAAATCAGGTATATCGGCTGTCAACTTCTTATTCTTTTTTTCTCGAAATCGATCGAGGGGAAAATCTTATTCGAATTGAGCATGTGGTTTCATCACAATGGCAATATTGTGATTAATCTTAGTGAGATGAATGCATTTGTAATTGATTTCAGCTATTTATAACAGTTTGCGAGGTCTGTAGATGCATATATATCATCATGCAGCGTATGACCTATATTAACCAATAGAACTTTAGATTCAATCTAGTTCAGTATTTATTGAGCTTGAACGAATCTAAATAATCGGCTATGAATGCATTGATCGTTGGAGAGAATCGTGAAACAGTAGAAGATGAAGATTAAAAGGTTTTATGTCGCATATCGAGGTTGAAAAAGTCTTGTTTTGTCACGTGATATCTACGACTTGTCAAGGAGAAAGTTACAAAAAGATGTATTAATCTTGCTTTTCTCTGAGAATAGTAGAGAAAATAGCACAGTAGTTTACCAAAATTTAAAATCGATCAAAAAATATCATATCACGACGGATGAAGCTCGATTGAAAATAGTTGGAACGTTGCTATCTTCATTTGTTTTTATTAATAAGAAGATTAGTTTTAATAATGGTTTTTTGCCAAAATATGTTTTGCAGAAATGATCGTAGAACCATAAATCTAAACAATAGAACTAAAATTCGAAGCAGCGATGCAAATGAACCTAAAACAAATAGTAATTTATATAAAATACGATTGGTATTGTATATTTGATGTTATTAGGTTGTTAACAACGTTTTTGCGTTTTTTTCCAAAATTTTATTTTTATCTTTTAACTTCAACAATACAACTAGCTTTCGGTTATATATACGCTACTACTTTCTATGAGTTGTCGCCATCGGTCTGGCAGAGATAGGATACCGCGTTCGTAGAAGTCCTTTGACTTTTGACCAAAGAAGTTGGCGATATCCATTTTAAAGTCGTTGACGTCGTCGAACTTTCTCTCAGCCAAATGGTAGTCCGTTGGTACTAAGTCAGAAGAATAAGGTGGATGAGGAACGTTAATCCAACCGAGCTTCAGTAATTTTTCGCAGGTCGACTTTGGAACATGGGGTCGGGCATTATCATGCAAATAGTAAATTCGATCCAGCTGTCCCTTGAGTTTTTCGGCAACCCGGTTCGACTGTTAACAACAGAGATCAGCAGTGATGGTACAACCGTTTGGAAGAACTCTCCAGTGAATAATTCCATTGAAGCCCCATCAAACGGTCAGCATCACCTTCTTGGGATGGAGATCAGTCTTAGGTGTTGCTACATCTGTCTGACTAGCACTAAGCCACTGGCATCTGTGCGTGTAGTTAATATACAACCCCGACTTCTTATCACCAGTGATAAGGTTGCGGAGAAAGCATCAGCCCGGTGTTGTAGCTGATGTGGTGATAACTCGTGGATTATCCAAACTCCATATTTCCATGCCTTCCCTAATTCGTTCAGATGTTTTCCTACTGCAACAGAAGAGCGCCCAAGCTACTCTGCTAAGCACCGTAAAGTCAATCGAGGATCTTGTTCGCTGAGCTGCTTTAAAAGATCCACATTTACTTCCACTGGTCAATGGAACTGAAGTAAATCGTCAAGTTCTAAGTTGCCGTTCTTAAGGCGATTAAACCGATGTTGTGCCGTACGAGTATAGAGTACATTCTCACCCATCATACTGCATATGTTGTTGGTTGCTTCTGTTGCTTTGTGGCCCAAACGAAATTCATGAAGTAAAAACACTCGATTCTCTCTACGAGGACGATCCGTTTCCAGTTCACGATCAGCGCCCATATCGATGACTTTATTATCTTTAGGAAGATATTCACACTCCCTTTATATATCCTGCGTATGGAAAACTTCTAGGACTTTGTAGAATGTTTCAGAACATTTTCCAAAAAAGAAACGCAAGAACTTTGTTAATAACCCAATATTATATAGATGTCGTAGAATGACATATTTATAGACCAATTTTGTTATTTTCCAACGAAATTTCAGTAAAAAACCGACTTCCCTCATCAGCTCGGCCGCATTAGGGTGTTCAAAGAAAATCAGAGAAAAAAGTTTTTCCTTATCTCTAGGAGTATCCCAGGGAATGGAAAAATGAAAATAAACTTTCCTATGTTTGAACCCGCAAAACATATATAGAACAACTACTTAATCAATATTCCGTTGAAATCCGCTTAAAATTTTGTGAAAGGAGATATAGTGAAACCATCACACCTTCTTTAATATCTTTGAAAACTTTTATGGCACGTTTAATAGTTACGCAAATATTCAAGCAATTATTATAATAAACCCCCTCTCAAAATAAAAGGCCCCGGTCCTTCTATTATAGTCCAGCACATCGCATCTTTTTTGTTGAAAAATCCCCCTACAGGAGGATAGGAGGATTTCGTCAAAATATCACCTCTGAGAGGCCTTCTATTGCGAGGAGGGGTTTACAGAAAAAGCTTTAAGATTGGTTCAATAATGATACAGCGAACATGAAGAATAGCAAATCAAAAATAGACGAAAAGCATAAAAATTGTCAGAAGAGAAGTGATTGATGATGTCAAAAGATATAATCCACATCCAACTTGTTTTACTTTTTTATTTTGTAATGTCAAAATAAGATAAAAAGATTATTGATTAATCCTTCAATAAACATGAGAATTATTAGAACAGAACTTATTTGAATTGAATAAAATTGATTTTCACTATCAGATGATAAACCAGTTGTTGTTGTTGAATAAAATTGATTTCCACTATCAGACGATAAACCAGCTGTTGTTGAATAAAATTGACATTGAACTTCAGCTGAATAATTATGTTGTTTAGAATCGAAAAAATGACTAATAGTAACATGATTTTCACCAGATATAAAAATAGTATAATTTCCTGTTGTATTTGGATAGTTTGTTGTTATAACGAATATATATTTCGTATTTTCTTGAAGATTAATAAAAAGTTTCAATTGATTCTGATTACATGCTCCATTATGGTAAACTATTAAATTGTGCAATGGTTTTAATGGATCAAAATTATCTTTATAAATGAAACCATAAGTATCTATTTCACTTTTACTCCAAATAATATATAAACCTGTTTTCTTCACATAGATTTGGAGTGCTTGATAATAATGACTCAAATTTTTATAATCTTGACAATATTTTGGATTATTTGTCGTCAATTGAGATGAATAATTCGATTGAATATTGACTAATGTAGCTATTTAATTAAAAAGAGGATTTTTTTGATAATTAAAAATAAAAATAACAAATGGTGTTATAAATCTCTGTAGAATAGTCAACTTTATCTTTAATTTCTCTTCAGACATTATCTATTGATGAAATCATACTTACAAAGACGTGTCACATTAACATTCTTTAAAGACGACATATGAATTGTAATGTTACCAGTTTTCATTGGATAACGTGTTGTGACAACCAATACGTATATAATATTATTATAAAGAGGGAGTTCTAATTTGAATTGATTATCAAATGCTTCATCATCATCTTTCGTAAGAAGATTTTCATTTGGATGAAGTGAATCAAATGATTTTTCATAGATAAAAGCAGATGTATCAAAATCTGCGCTACTCCATATTGAATAATAACGATTTTCAGGTACCTCAATTTGAAATGATTCATAATAATGATTTTCTTCATTACAATCTTGAGAATATAATTGACTATCTTTTGTTAATGTTAATGAATGCGTCCATTGAATAATTGATGACATATCTATTAAATTAAAAATATTTCTTTAGATTAATTGTGTATAGAAACTGAATTGTGAAATATCGTTTATTCACTATTCTATAGTTTAAAATTTAAACAATTTATTTAAATACCGATTACTACAATAGCGCACTAGTACTTCAATTTAATTACGGATGATATCATCTATTCTATTATTCTCATAAAAACTTACCACAAGAATTTTTTGAATATTGAAATTTTTGTATTCGATTATTTCCGGAATCAACAACAAACATATTTCCAAAATTATCAAAAGCAAGATTAGATGGAGAGTATAGTTTAGTAGATTTGATACTAATCCCATTACACCCAATAACACAATGAACACCATTTGTCCCTGATCGAAGAATACGATGATTATTTGAATCAACAATAAATAAAAACCGTTGAGAATCTAATGCAATACCAGTTGGACATGAAAGTGAATATTGATGTTGTGCTGTTGATGAATCTCCTACTTCTGTTATACCAACTTTTACTTCCAATTCAAATCTTTGTATTCGATTATTTCCACAATCTGCTACAAATGTGTTGAACTCTGTATCAACATAAATTCCATGTGGACTAGTTAACATAGTTGAAGTTGATCCTTGATTACCTGTACCAGCTACGATAATAATTGCTGGAATACCTTCACTGAAATTTCGTTTAATCACTTGATGATGTTCAGGCATTGAGCAGTATAGATGATTATATCTATCGATAAATAATCCAAAACAAGATGAAAAGACATCCATTTCATTGGTAAAATTTTTTGTATTCAAGGTCCATTTCTTTATTCGATGATTGATTCCATCATCAATGTAAATATCACCATTTAAAGCAACAAATAGAGAATATGAATAAGAGAAATCAGAAAGATTAATTCTAGTTGATTCAATATTAGATTCATTCCAAATTAAGATTTGTTTTTTCTCTTGATTGAGAGAATAAATTGAATTTTTTTGATCTATAAAAATACTTGAAGGATTTAAACCAATTATTGACTGATCAGTAAAAGTGATTCCATTTCGATTCCAAACTGGTTTTGAACAAAATCTTGGTATATTTAATGGAAAACCTGTATAGATAAGACGAAATAATTCTTACATAGACATATCTGATGACAAAATTAGACGAATACTTTTCTATTCGTTGAAAATCCGAAATATACCTCGAGCTTGAGAATATGTTCTATACTATCAAAATAATGTCTAAAATTCACGACTTTTCAAAAAAAACGAAACGATTTATAACATCTATTGCACCGTCACGAGCATTCTTGTCGTAAAGCTCCGATCAATTATTTGTTCTTGAATTCGTATCTTTGCACTTAAAAATAAAATGTAGAATATTTCTCTTTTGATATCCTTGTTGTGAAACGCAGAAGAGAAAAATCAGTAACATAAAGGTTCATATTTATCTTGTTCGTGTTTTCACTACTAATAAAATATAATCTCAACTAGTATTTTTCCTTTTCAATACAATGAATGAAATCAACATATAATTTTGATTTTTTCAGTTTATTCATCACTCAACTTTTCTTTACATTTAATTAAACTGAAAAAAGTTCGATAAAGTCCTGACAAGGACCCAGGTTATTATGATACGGACGGTTCCGGCCGGTTAGGTTCGTTTTTCGACCATTTCCTGCAAACTTCGAGCTGGAAACGGTCAGAAACTGATCGGATACTTCCTGTGCAATTCCGGCTGGAAACGAGAAGAGCTGTACTGGAACCGACTCAGATTTCAACGGATCCAGCCGCCGGAATGATCGACCTGGGTGAACGAATTCTCATCAATATAATGAATTTTGAACACTTCGATTATAATTCTTTATCTCTTTCTCTTATGCATACTTTCAGAATACTGGTTTTCATTACCAAGTTAAGTATTTCATGGTTGAACTTCTAATATAACTTACCACAAAGGTTTTCTAATTGAAATTTTCGAATGCGTTGATTTATGAAATCAGCAATAAATATATTTCCAAAACTATCAAAGCTTATGGAAGATGGAAAAGAGATTCCAATAGATTGATATCCATCCCCGTAACATCCAGTTATACATCGAAAACCATATGGTCCTTCTGCAATAATTTGTTGACCTTCTAATTCTACGATAAATAAATATTTCTTCGCATCCAATGTAACTCCGACAGGCCCATTGAGGTTAATAGTTGGACGTGCCGATTGCCAACCAGCAACAGTGATGGCATTTGTTTCTCCAAATGGAAATAATTGAATTCGATTATTCTCAGTATCTGCTACAAACAAATCAAAGTTAACATCAACAAAGATTCCGCAAGGATGATGAAGCTCATTCGGATTAGATCCGTGACTATTTGTTCCAGCAACAACTATCGTGTTCATTGAAGAACTTTTCAAGTTTACTTTTGATACCTGATTGTTCATGCTCATTGAGCAATATAAACTATCGTTGATATCGATAAAGATATCATAACAATGGTGTGATGTATTCATGACTTTGGTAAAAATTTTTGTTTTCGAAATCCATCTCGTTATATGAAATGAGGGAAATTCTGAACTAATATATATATCGCCATTCGGTGTTACGAATATAGACGAAAAAGATAAGAAGTCGGCTGAAATCGTTTGTGTTGGATTGATACTATTGTTATGCCATACTAAAATTACCTTGGAGGTAAGAACGACATAAATTGAATTATTTGTATCGATAAAAACATCATAGGGATAGTTAGGACTAATCGATTTCTGAGCAAACGGTGCTCCATTGTGATCCCAAGTTGGTGTATGACAAAATTCCGGCAGATTGAGTGAAACAGCTAGAACATATAATAAGAAAAGAGTTTTTCAATGTACCGTAACAGTTGTAATAATTAAAACACGTATGTTAAAACAGAATTATTTTTTATTTAACTGATTGATGATCATTATCGAGATGAAAGTTCGTTTAGAACATTTATTTTTATTTTTCAATTGACAAAAAGATGATTCGAGGATTTTTAAAATGGAGTAAAAGACCTACTTTGATAATTCTCATTTTATATAGAGAAATGGATGAAAAAATTTGCTCTCAATTTTTACACTACCACCAAATGATGACAGGAACTTTCGAGAGGCACATCTCGAGGGTACTGGATGAATTTTCAGTCGTACTAACTTATACTCCTTATCTAGTTTCTATGGTAGTTTCCTGGGCCCAGTGGCAGAGTGAAAGATGGTTGACGAAATATACCAGAAGTTAGAACAGCCTGCTTGGACGAAACTTCATCCAAGTGGAATACTCACTGTGATACAATACACCCTGAACTCTTGAACTTTATCGTTATAACGTGCATATATTCGCAATAGATGTAACCTTAATCAGGGGCCTAAGGCTTGAAATGTGATCTAAAAGAAGAAACGTATATTTTGTGGAACTCACATTATTTTTCGAAGAAAAATAGTGAGTGTAAGTTCTACATCCAGGATCTTTGAACCTCCCTCTCCCCCCACGGGCCACAAGCCGCTATTTCAGCTATACAGGTTAGCCGCTACGGGGTCACAGGGTGCAGGCACTGCAACGATTATTGTAGCCGTATGACCTATAGAAGTATTAGAAATGTAGAGAGTATTAGAGTTATCGAACATAGAAAAATATTATCAGTCTGTTCAAATTTCTATTATTTACCATTCAAGTAAAAATATTTGCATTTCAAATGCAGATTCGTTATTTTTTCGCTATGCCGTTTGGACCTTACTCTGTATTATTTAAATTATGCAAAAGTGGCTCAATGTGCACTTTACTGAGGCTTTTTTAGTAGCAATAATAGAAAAATGTTTCCCATTAGGAAATGTAGGAAAACGAGTGGATTAGAATTGGTACATAGTATACGTCATTCTATCTTAGATATGCATGTTAGGATATGTTGTCGATGCAAAGCTAGCATTAAGAACTTAAATATGTTCCATCTCATGATTAGTACGTTGTCTGAGATCGCACAAGATGTTACATCCTAGCGAATATCTGTGAAAGTATCAAAACGAATTCTTTAATTCCGACAACGTCTCATTCAGATGTTAGTTTGCCTAAATTCTTGGTGCTAGCTTTGTATTGATTTCTTCTTGAATATTGTTATGAGACACAAATAAATCGATATCAATTTTTCCTTACTTTTTTCAACAATGATTTATGAATATTATCAAACTATGATATGTCTTGACAAGGACTTATTTTACATTTCATTTACTGGTGAATTTTTCTCTATTTAACTGTTATTATTTTTGTTCTACTCACCAGAAGAGATGTTCGTCAGTTGAAATTTCATGATGCGCCTGTTTTCGGTATCAACAACAAATATATTTCCAAGGATATCAAAACTCATTGAAGATGGAAATGATTCCCTAGATCGAGCAACGTCCCCGTAACATCCAATTATACATCGAAAACCATATGGTCCTTCTGCAATAATTCGTTGACCTTGTAATTCTACAATAAATAAATATTTCTTCGCATCCAATGTAACTCCGACGGGCCCATTGAGGTTAATAGTTGGACGTGCCGATTGCCAACCAGCAACAGTGATGGCATTTGTTTCTCCAAATGGAAATAATTGAATTCGATTATTCTCAGTATCTGCTACAAACAAATCAAAGTTAACATCAACAAAGATTCCGCAAGGATGATGAAGCTCATTCGGATTAGATCCGTGACTATTTGTTCCAGCAACAACTATCGTGTTCATTGAAGAACTTTTCAAGTTTACTTTTGATACCTGATTGTTCATGCTCATTGAGCAATATAAACTATCGTTGATATCGATAAAGATATCATAACAATGGTGTGATGTATTCATGACTTTGGTAAAAATTTTTGTTTTCGAAATCCATCTCGTTATATGAAATGAGGGAAATTCTGAACTAATATATATATCGCCATTCGGTGTTACGAATATAGACGAAAAAGATAAGAAGTCGGCTGAAATCGTTTGTGTTGGATTGATACTATTGTTATGCCATACTATAATTTGTTTCTTGTCGTCACTAAGGATATAAATTGAGTTTTTTCTATCAATAAAAACATCTGTGTTCTTCACACCAACAATCGATTCGTTAACAAATGTTATTCCATTACGTTCCCAAGTTGGTACTGAAGATAAATTTGGTTGATTGAGTGAAACAGCTAAATTATGTGTATAAAAGAATGTTAAATGGCAATTTTGTCTTTCTAAACATATTTTTTCTAGACAGAAACTCATTCAAGGACTAGGGATATACCACAGACGAAGTCGATCTGTTTTGTTCCAGACACGAAATAATCGTGTTAACTTTAGTTTTTCTAAGAACTCAATATAATCATCTGAATATTTCATAATCTTATGTGATTCTGCAGAGCAGGTTGAGATCTTGATAAACTCCTGCTTTTAATTATCTATTACAAAAAGCAATTAGCTTCTGTAAATGAAAATATTTTCTCCTATGTAGGAAAAAGAGAAATTCGTTTTAAAATAGCAAACCTGATGTTTCATAATTGAAAATAAGAAAGAAAACATAAATGTTGTGCATTTTTCAATAAAATAACTGACAGTGTACATGCATTTTCTTCGATGAAATATTTTTAAATATTATAAAGATTTAATAAGAGCTTTTATATAGTTTAATATCGTAGAAGCTCAATTAATCTTCCAGAATTTTCTATTGATTATTTCTAAAAGTCATGTATTATTACAGGTGAGTTTTCTTAACAAGTTTTCTTATATGTCAAAATATAATTGATCATATCGAAGAGAATATATTGTTATTACGTATGACTTTAGAAATAGTTTAACTAGATATGCATGAGTTTTGCAAAATTTATTAACTCTAATACTCCCAACCTGGACCATTTTGGATTCAGATAGTAGGAAATGTAACTACGCCAGGAATTTGTTTTTGGGTTCGTATTTTATACAGAAAGTTTTTAAATGAGATCGGCGGTATTGCTATGAGTCCGGCTACCGTAAGATGTTTGTGAGTCATGCAGAGAATGGATGTGAAGCAGCTATACCAGATAGCAGTCCTCAGGCTGGAAAACTAGGATGTTTCAAATTATAGGAGTGATTTTCAGATGAGATGAACAACCATATTTGAATATAGTAGAATAGTTTATTTATGTGCATAAAAAGTGGAAAACGGAGGGTGGGAGCACAAGGGTTAACCAAACTACCTTTTTTTACTCGTTTATTTCATTTTATTTTTTACTGTTTTTCTTTTTTCGATTTGAAAAAAAGTTTTTTTTTTTTATAAATGCAGAACCCTGATGAATGTTTTTAATTCTTTTCAATAACTACACGAAACGTGTCGACGAAGCAAATTCTGCATTTATTTTTAATTAGAAATTTATTAAATCTAAAGATATTATTTGGTATTAAAGATCGATTGCTGAACAGCAAGGGTTAGCATTAGCATATTAATTTGTATTTTGAATTTCTAAGTTAATCTGTTTCATATTAATACACTCTCACCCGCACCCACACCTTTTCAGTCGAGGGTAATGCGAGTGACTCTAAACGAGCGTTATTTATTATTTGATGTTAATTCAAGTATTTTTTGGCAATCCATTTGAACAAATTGATAATTATTATCAATATACTTAAAAAGAGAAAGCCGAATTTACTTAAACCAGCATAACAAGCTAATGTCATCATTGAGTCATTTTGTTTAGAATATATTTCTAAAATATATTTTTCAGCAATATTTTCAATATAATCTGATATCATGTAAATAAATGGAGCGGTAGGACAGTAACATTTTTCTCCTAAAGCAGTGTTGGGTAATGATAAGGAAAGAAATAGAATGATCGGAAGAACAAAATCATAATAATTTGCTAAACGATAAGCATTTCGTCCACCAACGTGTAAAACGGTTAATGTTTGAGAACCTTCATCCGGTGTATTATAAAATAATGCATCAAGAATCGCCGGTGTTGTTTTTAACCAACGCTTGTCGTATAGTCATTAACTGGTTTTAAACAAAGATAAAAATTCAAAATTGTGAAAAAGCATATCGATAACAATCGAATAAATATTTGCCAAAGGTTTTAAAACTTTATAAAATTGTTCCATTGTAACTCACGTAAAATATATACATGAATTACGTTCTGTTGCTTTCAATCATAGTAAAGGCCAATGGAAAAATATAATGCTAATTTGATTAGTTCGAAAAGAAACAACACTAGCGACAAATGAAAATTCAATTAAAATTTAAATAAGGTATAATGTTGAAGGTTTTCGAGTTCTAACTTATAATCATTGAAAGGATCTCCAGAGACTGATCTTCATTCACCTCACAGGCGTCAAAAGAACCAAAGGCTACTTGTGATCCTTTTAATTACTCGATATTCCTGACTGACGGTCACTGTTCACAGGAAGTAGAAGTTTGCTACAAATTACTATTATGGATTTGCATCTTTAAGCATGTCATGCTTTTTCTAAAAGAAAGATGAACTCAGTAAGATAAAATGATACTCTGTATAGCTTTCGAACCCAAACGTGTCGGATTGTTTATACTTTTGTAACTGACTAGATTACCAGGCGCAGCTTCAAAGCCGTCCCTATCTATCATATAATCGCCCGCGTTGCTACCAAAAAGTATAGAAAATTGATTAACATTCCATCAGCATCTCATAGATGAGATTATCAGCGTCCGAACGTCTGAGGTTATATACTTATTAAAAAGCTTGGAGGCTTTTAACAACTTTCGATATATCGAAGCTCAGCATTTAAGATTGCTCCCCAGTATGTAACTTGTGAACGATTGTATTTTTGAATTACCGGCCTTTGATATGCGACAGTCAACCAAGTGTGTTTTTATTTTTTCGTAATCAACTTTTTCTATATAGTCCTCCTCTCAGTCGCGGATGAAATGTTTTATTCATCTCTGTGACGTCCCTGCCCCTTTACTCCTCCCAAACGATATTGTACGAGATTTTGGACATTTTCGAAAAAATGTTTTTTTGACCTTTGACTCTGACACAAACATACATACATACATACATACATACAAACTATTTTTCCCATATAATCCCTCCCCCCCCTAG